AAGGGGTTGGGGATCTGGGGGCAGAAGGAAGCTGAAGATTCTAGAACATTTGGGGTCTCAAAATCCAAGTTCAAGGGGGACTGGAAGAGGGCCATCTGAGGACTTGAGACCACCATCTTAGGTCCTGAGGTGTTGGCGACCTTCAGTCACACATCTGAGGATACCAACCACTTCAGAGTCCTGTTTATGAAATCCAAAGCGCCTGAGAACACCGGCTTGGGGCAGGTGAGTCTATGGAGGTCTTGGCTCCTTGACTCCTAGACCATCTTGGTGTCTAGTATCTGGGTCTTGGAGGGCTCTGGGATGGGTCTCCCGAGTCATCTTGTTCAGAGAACATCTCACATTTGAGCATATCTAAGGACTCGGTGAATCATGAGTCTAGGGTGCTCTGGCAGCTGGGGGCTACCTGGACATCTTAGATCTGTGTTCCTGGATTGGAAGCCTGGTCTGTGGGCACTCGGTGTGAATAGACTCGGGGCCCGCATCTGGCAATCCCAGAAAATAATGCAGCTTCAAACCCAGGAGAGTTTGGTGTCTCGGGGGTCCTAGGCCTACGAGAATTTCCCAGATGTGGGTGCACCAGGTCTTCGGTGAACACTCAGGGGCCGTTTTGGGGGTGATTCTAGGTCCTACGATCTCAAGATCTGGGAGTAATTGGATACAGGCAGGGTCAGGCATTGGCAACTCCTAATTCTGGGGCTGTCATCTGAGGTTCGTGGTGCCAGGTGTAACTAGGGCCTGGGTTGGTCATTTGAGCAGGGACCTGCCTCTCTGGGATTTAGGTGTGCTCCCCGCCCTTCTGAGATGAGAGCATGGGGTTGCCCGGAGCCTCCTCAGTGAGCGGGTGGGGGTGGGCAACGTCAGAACTCAGGACGCCTGGACCTCTCTGGGACAGACATCCCGCTGAAGCTGGGTCTGGGGTCTCTCAGGCCTCGATGTGGGATCCAGGCTCCGGGTCTGGGATCTCCCGCTCCAAACGCAAGCTCCAAGTTCCGGAGGCGCCTAGGCTTGGGCTTTAGGCCCGGCGGCGTCCGGGGTCCGGGACCCTCCTCCCTGGGTCCTCGGCCGGCTTCGGGACCGCCAGGCCGTCCTCACCGCGCGG